TTGGTAATGAAGTAAAGCGATGCTGGCATGATTTTTCTTGCATTATACTTAAATGCTTCTCCAGCTTATTTGATTTACTAATGTAAGTATTTATGGAGTAGAAAAGTCTTCCCATGACACATTCAGAAAATAGAACAGATCAGTTATCTTTATGCTGCTTAAAAATTGCCACTTGGAAGGATGAAAAATGTGAAATCTGGTCTTTTACCCTTTGACCAACCTTTCAAACTCAGTGTCTAATGAAGAGAGACCATCCGCCAGCTCTCTTTATGCTTAAATGTGAAGACTTAAAGGATGTATAATTCCCATTCCATTATTATAAATGTGCATTCAATACTTAGGTGGTATTTTATAGCTGTTCTAAGAGTTAGATCCTAATTTACCATGGGGTCTGAGAGAGAGACAGACTTTTCCCTATTCACAGAAGAGAAAATTTTGATTAGTGACATCTTCAACCAATGTCTCTGCAAGAGTGGTCTGTGGGCCTCCCATGGATGTCTCTTTGAGCCATGAGAGGCATGTCTCACTGCCTACCATGGAACCATTGTCTCTGGGTTGGGGTCTCCAAGGAACATTTTAAGTACATTCTCTGAGTGATGGTAATGTTCAATACAGTTTAAGAAATGCATGTTAGAATTTATACCAAGACACATTTCCACAGCTTTTAATAGATGATCCCAAGGGAACATCTGGAAGGCAGATGGGAACACATCTGGTAACACTGACCAGGCCTGTGAGGGGGATTCAGAACTCAAGTGTCTGGGTATTGGTTTCAGGAATTTGTAGTGTTTACTCTGTACAACAGAAGACTGAACTTCTTCAGTTACTTGAAGAACCACATTGTGGACAAACATGTTCCGAGTAGTTGCACGAAGCACAGGTAAAGCCAGTGAGATGGCAGAAATTATAGGCAGGCAAAGTTCAGCTTACTATAATCAAGAATGTGTTAACACTTAGATTGTCCCCAAAACAACGAGGTTGTTTCTAGGGTAGTAAGTTCTCCATCATTATTGGAAATGTACAAGACTTTCTGTGTTGGATGCAGAAAATATTCATACATAGGAATACCTTAGCCTTTGACAAAGAATATTTGAATACTGGTGTTCAATTATCTTGTAATTAGTTTCCTCTCTTTTTAAAAGTTACAATAAGGTCTCTGTGTGTAGATATGTATGCATATGCTCCTATGCAAGCCTTTGGGTGAGGATAAGTGGGGGGAAGAATTCAGTTTGGGAAAGATTATAAGTTAACTTATTCATTATTCATCAAATGTTTTTTTTTTTGCCCCTGTATGTCAGTTGCTATTCCAGTCATTGATGATTCAGAAATGCCTACTATGGTGCTTAACTAGAAAGAAGTCTTGATCTAGTAGAGGAGCTTGACTTAAAAATAGAAAAATATGATGACTTGTGGTAAATTTGATGAAAGCAGCATGTACATGGTATTCTGGGTACACCAAGAAAGGGAATGTGCCCCAGCCTGTATATGTGTGGGGCAGAAAAGGAGTCTAGGGAGGATACTTGGAAAAGATGAATATGACTTTAACCATTGACCACGCAGAGGGAAGAGGATGAGTGAAGGCATTGGAACAAGAATTATTCGGAGATAAAAATATGCTTTTGAAAGGAAAGTGTGATATTCTGTAGACCTGACAAACAGGCCTGAGCTCATATGTCCCAGATTACCAATGGCCTTTGTATTCTGTGCTAAGCAACATGGTCTCTGTCCTGCAGAACAGGTAAGGGTTCCTTGAAAAGTTTAAAGTATGGACCGATAAGAATCAGCCTGCTCCCAAGTAATAACACTTGACTGACATTTGAGAGTTGCTTTGTTAATAATGCTTTTGATTTTGTGCAAGACATTGAGGCTCTGCATCTATAAATACAGTAGTGAAAAGCACAGCAGAGTTTGGGCTCATACAGTGAAGCAGATACTCCTGGCAGGCAGCTGTTGAAGTAGTGATGTCGGGTGCCTTTGAGTTCACAAGCCTTTTTTGACATTGTTGCACTGGGTCCATGATTCCTGCTAGGGGAGATCATTCAGGGACGTCGGCTGCAGACCTAAAATACAAGGAGCATCTTCAGCCTGGTTTTCTAAACTCTGAACACTTTCTTAGTATCCATGAGATACATTGGTGCCTAGAATAACTGTGAATGCTTTTGGTTTGGTATTCCATACCTTCCTTCCCAGGCACAGTAAAAAGATAATATTTTAAAATTTATTTACTGTCTCTCATTAAGTCTCTAGTATTTCATACAAATGAAATAGAAATGAAAAACGAACCAGTGAATTTAGATATGTTGTAAATTTGGCACCTCCTCTTTTGTACATGGGCTCTATTGGGTTGATTTGTATACAAACATTCCCCGTCAACACCAACAGAGGAAACATATGTGTGATATAAAGTCTCTGCTTATTCTGCTTATCAGCAAGCAACACACTTGTTGCAAGGAAATAAGTTTGACAAAAGACCAATTCTTTCCTGATTCTTTTTGCTTGTGGAGGTGTTTTGTCGTGTTGCTAAGTTACCAGGTTGAAGGATTCTACTTTGGGGGAATGGAAGTTATTTTAAAACATCTAATGAACATCCTACCAGAAAACTTCTTCGCAGTTTGATAAAGGTCTGCAGTGTTGAAGAATGTGAGTAGACGAGGAAAGAACCTGAAAGGTGTGGAAAACAAATTCCACAGAAATACAAAAAGCATTCTAATCACAATGCACTGTCAAACACTGGAGTAAATCGCAAGAAGAAGTTAGGTGAGGATGCTTGAATATTTAACCCAGAAATTTTCAGGTGCCTGCTTGAAAATGTCACAGAATAGGTTAGAATAAAGAGAAGGGAAGAGCATTCTTCCTCAGAGAATAAATGGGGATACTCCAGAATCTCTTTCATAAGAGACTTATTCATTCATTTACCAAATAATTATCAAGTTAGTAGCCAGACAGATGTGGTGCATATGCTAACAGAGTGAAGTTTCTGTTTTCTTGGACCTCTGTCTTATGGTTGTCAGGAGTCTGGCATATAAGTGACAGAAACTCAAGTTACCCTTACTTAACTGAAAAGACAGTGAAAGACTGTAGGAACTGGGAGATCCAGGGGCAGAAAAGGATTCAGACATACTTGGACAGAGTCCTTAGTGATGGTAGAGAGTAGGTCTCTCTCCTTCTACCTCCTGGTTTTGCTTTCCCCTGTGAGTTCACTTGGTCATAATGCACACAGGGCTGCTCCACAGAGCCAAGGAAGATGGTTGCTAACAGGTCTAGGCTTTAGTGGTCCCAATTCCGTCCTCTATGAAAGAAGGTGAACTTATCCTTTTTTGATGACTATGTATTAAAACTTAGAGGAAGACTTTGATTGGCTCTGCTTAGGTCATGTGCTCCTTATCTCTGAAGTGACCAACAAGGCTATGATGAGCTAGGGATATCATTTGGGTGGGGACATAATGACAACAGGAACATCTGTGTTGATAGTAGAAATGTATTGAACCAATAGCAGCCACAAAACTCTACACCCTGTCCGCTGCTCTAGTCAACATAGAAATGTCCAGATTCCTTTAAAGCCTGTTACTGTAAGACCTACCTCAGCTCCTGATACTCCTAGCATCCTCTATTTCTTTTTGCCTGGATCCCATTAAATAGGAGTTATGTTTTAGGAGCAAAGACTGCTGCCTTATTAGGAGAACAAAACTAACCTTTTTCATTCTTTCCACCAAAAGTTCCAGCCTAGCTATAATAGTTGCATTTCCTTGGATCAAGACAAGGCCAGAAAAAGCGAATAAAACTACCTCAAGCTTGGCAAGACACAAACACAATTAGTGCTGTGTGACCCATTGGCAAGTACTTGCTGAACTGTAGTTTGGTATCAAGATGCAACAGGGAAAAGCACGAGATGGAAGAAGATAAGACTCCTTTCCCCCAATGAGCTTCCAATCAATTTAAAGAGAAAAAATAGCTGCAAAAGTCAAACTGAATTCTAAAACATGATAAAGGCATTTGTTAGTATTCAGTGATGATAAAGCATGGAATTATTAACGTCAGAGAATAGGACAGTAGATAGTAAGGGGCCGACTGAGATTATTTCTAAGAGTTTTTATGGCTACCCTTTCTGGGGCTGTGCCTGTGGTTATTAAGAAAGGCTTTTTGGAAAAAACAGAACTTAACTTAGGTCTTAAAAGATGAATGGGAGAGATTATGTGCACAAGATAGAATTTTTTCCCTGTACTGACCACGATTCACTTAGTTTCCTCTCGTATAAACTTAATGACATGATGCTGTTGCTTTTTACTATTCAGAAAGGTCACTTAGGAGATTTGAAAGCACTTAGTTTCTATGTATGTGAAGGGAGTTTACAAAGGTTGAACACTATAGGGATATTAATATAGCGTACTTAGTATAAGTACAATATCTCCGAACATAAAGATTATTGAAGAAAATTGGGATATTTCAGGAGCTCTTCGTAGCCTTTGAGCTCAGTGTTAACTGGATAATTATTTCCTTCCAAAAGTGTAATATAGTTGCCCTAGTTCCCATAAGCATAACAGCCAATATATGGGCATTGCAGTTGGCCACTGATGAAGCACTGGAACCTCAACCTGTGCTGAAAGCAAATATCCCCACGGAAAACTTGGTCTCATTTTAAAATCATCTGAAGGCAGAAAGTCAGCTTTCAGACTTTATTTTTTTACCTCTTAAAAATACTACATTGCTTAAATCAGATTTCTGTAAATATAGATGGCCCCGGATCTTATCACAGCCCTCTGCAGTGGGGTCTGGGCCACAGGATCCTTTAAGCCATCACTGAGCTGGGGTGTTGGCAGCTGGCAGCTAGCTGGTGCCTATTGTGATGCAGTGGTCTTGCTCTTGGGTATCTGTCTTACGGTGACATGGTGGCTCCTGCTGTCCATTTTCTACAGGAAGTTTCCCCTGTCCTGTAGAATTTTGAACCCCTAGAGACTTTCCTCTGGAAGATATCAGAAGAGAGACTCCTGCCTCTGTTTCAGATAGACAACCTGCAGATAAACCCGTGGGAAACCCAACCTCTGAGGAACAGATGGCCTAGTTTGGACCTTCACCCCGAAGCAGGCCTGAAATGCTGCTGTTCCAGTAATGAGCTATATGTCCTTGGTTAGTAAATGAGTTTGCTTCTAGGAGTCTTCATTTCTTCAGATAAATTAATAGTGTCTGTCTTGTTGGCCTTAACAAGACCATTCAAATAGTCAAAATTGTTCATATCTGTTAAGTTTTATTTGTTCCAAGTATTGTTCCAGGGCAGTGTGCTGTTTGTAGCATTGAAAGCTCTAAAAGGTTTACCATCACTGGTCTAAGGACTTCAGTCCTATAATCCTTCGTGTACAGAAGTATTATTACAACTATTTTCTAGATGAGAAAACAGATTCTGAAGTGACTTTTCCAAATCATGCAGCTGGTAAAAAGCAGAGTCAGTTTTCCAATCAGAGCAGCCTTAGCCCAGGGGCAGTGCTCTTAACTCTACCCAACACCCTCTAGTACCTGGCATAGAAGAAACACTCTGGAAATAGTAGCAGTGAGGAAAGTCTGGGTATAAGTGTCACAGAGAGACTGGTTTGGTCAGGGAATGGGAGAGTGTTGATGGCTTCTGTTTTGGCCTATGAGACAGGCAGGAAGACCCCCTCTAGCTCCTTATTCCAGCCAGACCTCTTGTTATCAAGACTTCCTTTAACCCATGGTACCTGGTCTGAGCTGAGTTCAGACAGCCTGTTCTGTTTCCCTTACTTTTCTTTTTAATTAGCTTTTTGTAATTATACGTATTTATGTGGTACAGTATGATAATTTGATACAGGTACACAATGTATAATGATCAAATCAGGTAATTAGCATTTCCAGCTTCTTAAATATTTATCATTGCTTTGTGCTGAGAGGCTTTGAACCTCTCTACTCTTGTTCTTTATAAAATATATATAGTGAATTGTAAGATAGTCATCCTACTGTGCTGAGGAGCACCATAGCTTGTTTTTCCTCTCTAACTTGATTTTGGTACCTGTTATCCATCCAACCTCCAAGCCCTTCCCTCATCCTTCACAGCCTCTAGTGACCAATATTCTACTTCTCTACGTCTGTGACATTGGTGTTTTTAGTTTTCACATACGAGTGAGATCATATGCTATTTGTTTTACTGTGCAAGTCTTATTTCACTTAATATGATGTCCTTTGGATCTACCCCGTGTGGAAATTTGCTTTTTCTGAAGGCTTTAGGTCATACAGCTTTGTTTGGCTGAGATAAGTGCACAAGCTTTCTACACAGGCATATGTCAAAGGAGACTTAGTTTTGGAGGAATTAATTGGAATTCTCTTAGCAGTCTCCTGACATTGGTCTGAACACTGTGCTCATTCCCAGTAGATTATCATTAATCGGATGAGCAGGGAGACTGAAACAGCTTCTGATAGCCAATTTATTAACTTCTCCAAGATGAAGAGATGAGAGCAGGCTGAGCTACTTGGATTTACTTTGAGGGCTTTGGGACAGAAAGCCATGGAGTTGATGGTTTCATCACCCTGATTTAAATAGATTAACGATTTCTCCTGGTCTTAGCAAGGATTAGGGTGACAGTGTTGTTTTCCTTTCTAGCAGGTTTATTTGAGGAATAATTGATGTGTACAATCTGATGAGTTTGGACGTGCACATACACCAGCAATACTATCACCACAGTCAAGGTAACAGACATACTTAACACTTCCCGACCAGAGTCTCCTTGTGCCTGACATGTTGATTAATTCATTAATTAGTTGTGGTATGAATGTATTGTGTTCTTAATAAATTGTGAAGTGCACTAAGTTGTAGGAATCTGATATCCAACAGTGTCTAGAATTAAAATTACAATTTTGTGCATTTCAAATTGTTTTAAGAGCATTGGAGTGTTTTCTTCCTGAGGCCTATATTTTTTTTATTATCTCTCTCTTTTTCTCTGTCTCAGTCTCATTTTTTTTTTTTTTTTTGGTACCAGGGATTGAATTCACGACCTTGCACTTGCCAGGCAGGTACTTATGCCACTGAGCTAAATCTCCAGCCCATTTTTTAAATTATTGTTTTCCTCCTTTGAAGTTCTGAGTTTATTCTCCTTTTCTTTCACATTTCTTCTAAAAAATCTCCTAAGTGTGTGCTTGTCCTTTTCCAATTTGGTATGCCTCAGAGACACTGGTCTCGCAGTAGACAGAAACCATTATTTCCCATGGTTGAGATAGTGACATGTGACATTTTTTACCCTTTTATTTTCTCTTCCATACCAACCTGGTCATTTTTCCATATTATTTAATTTGGCCCTCAGTGGTTTATTCTACCTAGAGATGGTATTGAAATGGAAACTTCTACTTTGGTAGCCAGTCTTGGCATTTTCTTTTGTGAGGCCACATGCAAGTTATAGAAGGACTCTGATTTAGGATGGTTCAACTTGTGACTTTATCATTTTATAATGTTGCAAAAGCTGTATGCATTTGATAAAACCTGTATGTTGAATTTTGTTTTTCTTTTACTTTGCTTTTGCAGTGCTGGTGATGAAACCCACGGTCTCAGACATGTCAGGCAAACTCTATCACTGAGCTACATCCAAGCCCTGAATTTTGAATTTTGATCTTTTCTTGGTCTTGGGAGGAATGGTATGTCACTCTCCTATGATATTATGCAGCAGCGGTGAGCCATGACTTCTAGTCAGCTGCTTGATTATGAGAAAAATAATGGATAATCTACAGTGTACTGTAAGCTGTGATGTTTGGGCATTTAGTGCATTAAATGCAGTGTGAATGTACATTATTTTCAACCTAAAATGGGTTTATCTGAACATAACCCCACCGTAAGTGAAGGAGCATTTGTACTTAACCTCTCTGTGCACTGGTGTCCTTGTTGGTAAGAGATGATCTTAACTTGCGTGTAGGGCTGCTGTGAGGACTGGATGCAGTCTTGTGTACTATATCAAGACCACAGCAGGGACTTCATGTCTGTTCTTTTTTTCTCCATTTTTCCTACATGGAGAATGGAAGGGAGGACTCTCACGCCAGGAGTGAGTGGGAATCCTGACAGTGATCCAGTATTAACCAGGGACTGAGGGAGTGAGCCTGAGCTAACACCTTCTAGGTGCTTGCTCTTTGTAACTACACTGCTCTCTATAGGCAGACCCAGAAAAACATAGGGTTCGGCTCTGCTCAACGGGCCCTAAGCTCACAATATTGTCTCATAGCAGAACTGGCAAAACCCCTCACAGTTAACCTACGGTGCATAATTTCCTGAGATGTGGGTCACCACTGCCTTTCCGCCCTGCCTCCTTATCCATCCCATTTTACTCCATTTGTCCCATCCTTTCATGAGATTTTGGTGACTCATGAACAGTCCTCCTTTCATGAGATTTTGGTGACTCATGAACAGTCCTCATCTGGGCCACTTTGCTATGCCTTTGTTCTCTTTCGACTTGTCCCATGTCTTCTCTGCAAGTGATAAGCTTGTGCTATGAATGATGGATTCTGAGGTCAGATTGTTGAGTCTGATATGTGATTTAATTTTGTATGTTTCAAACTTCACATAAACAGAATCATGCTGTGTGATTTATTTTACAACTTTCTTTTGTCTTTCACACTATGTTCCTGAAGCTCAGACATGTTATATTTTGTGACTTTTATTCCTTTCTCACCCAATATGAGTAAGTGACAAAGAATCAGTTTTATATTTGATAGATGTTTAGGTTCTTCTCAGATTTTTTTCTATTATAAACAGTGCTGCTATAAATATGTATGCAACACTGGTGCACGTGTGCTAGATTTCTAAAAACAGGCACCTCCTATGGAAACCTGAATATTTTCCATCATGCTGAATGCTTGCCTTTAAATATGTTACATTATGCCAAATAGTATTTCAAAGTGATAATAATAAAATCTACTTCCTCTGGAAGTGGGTAAATGTTTCCTTGCTCCATATTTTTGCTACCACTTGAAACTACTAGACTCTTCTCATTATGGGGTGTGTGTGTGTGTGTGTGTGTGTGTGTGTGTGTGTGTGTGTGTGACAGAGAGAGAGAGAGAGAGTGTGTGAGAGAGAGAGATAGCATCTTGTGATTAAAGTTTGCATTCTCTAATTTACAAAAAAATTTAGCACCTTTTCATATATATTGGCCATTTGGATTTTGCCTTTGTATAATGTTCAAAGTTTTTGATAAATTTCCTGTGAAGTGTTTGCCTTTTTTCTTGTTTATTTGTAGGAGAGCTTTATATATTCTGCACACTTGTTTTTGTCATTGTTGCTGCTATATTTTAAGTAGGGTCTCCACATTTGTGGCTTCTCTTTTACCTTCAATTGATACTAGAGACTTATGAGAATTTCTCAATTTTAAAGCAAATTTATAAGAGGAGAGAAAATTGAGGCTTAGAGTTATTAGTGTCTTATGTAAGTAAGGTCTTTTAGTAGGAAGTGGCTGAGATAGATTTAAATCCGGATCTGAATGCAAAAACTGATTTCTTTCTGTTAGCTGGTACAAGCTCCATGCAACATTGACTACAAAAGGTCAGGTACAGAGGAAGAATGAATGGAAATTTTGTTAGATTGCATTTTTTAGATAATTGAAGGGCACTTTTCCCCTTGCACATGTCAGGAGGGTTATCCAAAGAAAACAAGGAACTTTGCGACTATAGAATTTATATATATATTCCTTTTTCAACTCTTCCTATGTCTAACCCTTTATTTTTCTCATGGTCATGGAATTTTTGTTAATGCTCTGCTTATAGCACATAAAGAAACAACTTCAACCAAATCCAGTTGTGCATCTCTGTGTCTGTTTCTAATCCTGGCTGATAACACCCCAGATAAAGAAGAATCAGGTTGTCTCTCTAAATGAGCACACGGAGATTTGGGCATCTGTTCCTTTTAGACTAAGCATATTTTCACTGTCATAAAACATTTGATGTTGAGCTGGTAAATGAGAATACAAAGGAATTAGGAGTGCAGTGTTTCAGTGAATATCTCCTTAATCACAGAGAGTGGGACTTCTTAATTTAAATTCCTGATTAGGCATGTTGGGCACCGAGAACACTGCTCTGATCTCATTAGTCCAAGTGATAATGTGCACTAATTACCCCTCTTCCAAAGTCAGGGGTTCATTTATTACCTA